TTTCAAAAGGATCACTCTTATAAGAACCAGAAATGCCTATGAAACATATCATAAGCACATGCACACACCCATAATTCTTCCATGCCTCCCCCTGATCTAGTTGTCCAGATTCCAGTCATACAAGACCCCTCCTGGCTTCTCAAACACCCTTTCCCATCTTGGCATCCTCAATCTGTTCAAATTATAGTTTTACTCAAAGAAATACATGTACATATTTTAGATAAAACATGTCTTATCCCTCTGATGAGATTGATGCTAGTCCTTCATTCTCAAGTTGCTTTATGCTGCTTGTTTTAATATTTGATCTCAAGTTGAAGGATTTCCTCGGGTTTTTCATAATTCTCAGTTGCCTATTTAAGAGTGGAGGACACTAGTTAAAATGGCTATTGTTGGCTGGGCTCGGTGGCTCAGCCTGTAATCCTGGCTCTTGGGGAGGCTGAGGCAAGTGGACTGACTGAGCCCATGGGTTGGAGACCAGCAAGACCTCATCTCTACAATAAATCAAAAATTAGCCAGGCATGGTAGCATGTACCTGTAGTTCTGGCTACTTAGAAGGCTGAGGCGGAAGGATCACTGGAGTCACTCCAGTCTGGACAACAGAGTGAGACTCTGACTCAAAAAAAAGAGGCTATTGTCACAAAGACAGAAAATAACAAATGTTGACAAGGATATGGAGAAAGGGGGATGCTTGTATACTGTTATTGAGAAAGTAATTTAGTACAGCAACTATGAAAAACAGAATGGAAGTTCCACAAAAAGCTAACAATAGAAATGTCATATGATCCAGCAATCCTACTGCTGGGTATATATCAAAAGAAAGGAAATTGCAACACTGAAGAAATCACTGCACTCCCACTTATTGAAGCATTATTCACAATAGCCAAGCTATAAAATCAACCCAAGTGTCCATCAATGGACGGATTAAGAGAATGTGGTACATGTACACAATGAAATAGTATTTAGCCATAAAAAAGAATGAAATCTTGTCATTTGCATATACATAGATGGATCTGGAGGACATTAGGTTAAGAAAAACCAGGCACAGAAAGACAAATATCTCATGTTCTCATTCATATGCAGAAGGTAGTGAGTAGAATGGTGGTTACCAGAGTCTAGGAAGAGGAGTTGGGGGGGGGGCAAAAGAGGTTGGTTAATGGGTACAAAAATACAGTTAGATAAAAGGAATAGTCTTGTGTTTGATAGCACAGTAGGGCAACTATAGTTAACAAGAATTTATTGTATATTTCAAAATAACTAGAAGAATAGATTTGGAATGTTCCCAACACAAAAGAATAAATGCTTGCAGTGATGGATAGCTTAAATACCCTGATTTGGCCAGGCACCATAGCTCATGCCTATAATCCAGCACTCTGAGAGGCCAAGGAGGGAAAACTGCTTGAGATCAGGACTTCAAGACAAACCTGGGCAACATAGTAAGACCTCATCTCTACAAAATAACCAGCAGGGCAGGGTGGCATGGGTCTATAGTCCCAACTACTCAGGAGGCTGAGGTGGAAGGATCACCTAAACCGAGGAGTCTGAGGCTGTGGTGAGCTGTGATCATGCCAGTGCACTCCAGTCTGGGCAATAAAGTAAGACCCTGACTCCCCCACCAAAATTAATTAATTAAAAATCCTGATTTGACCACTACACATTATGTGCATGTATCAAAATATTACATGTACCCTATAAATATGCACAACTATTATGCATCAATTAGTAAAAAAAAGAGTGGGGACAGAAAATCTGCTTGAAGCACCTGAATAGGCCCTAGTAACCTAAGCTTGACAGTAGAGACAGGCCAGGGATTTCTTAGGGATCCCTCAGTATCTTCATTATAAAGTCTTTCCTCTAGGGGGCAGATTCCCGGGATAAAATGTTCTAATTTCCCAAGAAATTCTCTCTCTCTCTCTCTACATATATATGAAGGGGGACAAAGGGCAGGCCCCTTTGTAGTACACTCTGAATTTGTTCCTCCTGATCAAACTGTTAACCAAAGCTTTTATCTGGAAGTTTTGAGAAGGCTGTGTCACAATCACAATTTGCGGAAGAAACTTCTGAGTTGTAGCAAACAGGTGACTGAATGCTAATATGGAAGAGGTGAAACAAAAAAACGACAGAAGCACTGAAAGGCATCAAACTTGATTAGTTAAAAAAAACTGTTCTGAGCAGTGGAAAAAGTGTCTCAAGCATCAAACAGAGAGTACTTTGAAGGTGACTGAAATTTAAACATGTGAGAATAAACATACAGTTTTTTATAAACAAATTCCGGGTTTTAGGGGGGTTTCCTTCGTATGTGTGTGTGTGTGTGTGTGTGTGTGTGTGTGTGTGTATGAAGGATATACATATTTCTCATTTTCCAGGCTGTACCCCTGTGTTCAGTAGCTCTTGGCATCCTTCAATCAAGAAATCCCTGTTTTACTATCCCCAGAAAATAAACTAGTTGGATGGGGGGGAGGAATATTCACTAAGGGAAAAGGTTTCAGCTTCTTAAAAGGCTTTCACCCAGTTCTACTTATTTTAGCATTCTTCCCTTTGCCACCACTGAGGTACCAGCTATTGCTAATTCCTGAGCTTTTTAAGGCTTCTTCAGTTGGCTCCCAACTTCCCATTGCTGGCATAGTATAAAACCGCTAACTCAGCCACCATATCTACTTTCTAGCATTCTAAACAATGACCCCAACTATTGGAGATTTGTACTTAAACAAATCACGGTTCCTTTACCAGTGGGGCTTTGGGAGGGAGCCAAGTTAGAGGTGTCTGTCCAATCTGCTACCTTTCTAGGCTCTGTATTATTATTATTTTTTTCCTGAATCAGAGTCCACCCATAAACACAGAGACCAACCATAAGCAATAAGCAATAACGGTAAGCAGATCACCACCTCTGTCTCCCAGGCTGGAGTGCAGTAGCATGCTCACAGCCACCACAGCCTCAACCTGCTAGGCTCAGGCGATCCTTCTGCCTCAGCCTCCCAAGTAGCTGGAACTACAGGTGTGAGCCACGACGTCCCGCTAATTTTTTTTATATATTGTAGAGACGAAGTCTCACCATGTTGCTCAGGCTAGTCTTGAACCCCTGAGCTCAGGAAATCCTCTCGCCTCTGCCTCACAAAGTGCTGGGATTACAGGCATGAGCGACCATGTCTGGTCATGGCTCTGTATTTTTTATTTAAACCGTTCCAAATGACTTAAATCAACTGAAACCACTCCTCTAATTGAGATAGCATCTCAGTAAATTGTTTAACATATGCAATAAGGATTAAAGTGGCAGACCTTCTTATCACTCAACTATTGTGTAAAATAGGCAAAATAAGGTGTGGCCCATTTAAGAGGTAAGTACTATATCAATCTAAGGTCTCTCTTCTCATAGGAAGATAATGTTTGACTATTAGTAGGACAAGTTGTTTTTCCATCAAAGATGATGTTTCAAGTGTTACGTCTTTCTCCTTTTGTCCTCCTGTCCTTCGCTTGTAAGTCACCTTTTAGGTTAGAGATACAATGCACAGATTTATGCTTTTCCATGACAGGCCATCAGTAATTCACTAAATGAAATGTAATAAACAAATGGTTTCAGCCTCATTGTGTCCTAACCAAAGCAAAGAAGACTTTATGCTGTTTGGGCATGTGCTGTTCATGTGGCCAACTGCATATAAATTTTTAATATAAATATGTTATATATCCTCCCCGGCATCTGAATTATGTTAATAGCAGGTTAGCAGGCCACATCATTCAGAAGACACAGGAAATTAATATTCTTGAGAAGAGAGGAAATTATTATTTGCCATATTGTACAGTCATCAAGTGAGCCTCATTGTACTGCAGCAACCAGATTTTTCTACCTTGCAGAGGCACATTTTAATAAACTAAATTGGCAATTAAAATGGTCTCAAGATAGAAAGGAAAGAATAGGGCTTTCACGTTCTATTCAGACTTATCATAATATATTTATGGGGTAGGATTTATGTATTGTCTATATGCTTTGATCTATTATAACTTGGTTCAAGTCCTAGCTTTATCACAATCTTGCTCAGTGGACCCTAGGCAAGCCATTTAATCCGGGACCAGTGGCCTCACTTCAAATGTGTTGAGAAGATAAAATAAAATCAAAAGTATTTTAAACAGAGAATAGAAAATTAATATACCACATATTGCTGCTGTGGCTAATTAGCTCAAACTATTTAAGTGCCTGTGTGGGAAGAATGAGCTGGGGCCGTACTCTGTGTTGCTTCATTCCATGAATCTCTCTCCGAATTTCATCCAGCCTTCACAGAGCCAGAGGTCTAAGGCTGCCTATGCATCAGCCTACATAATTTACCTCTACTGAAAACAACCTCCTTATGAATCTTTGCTTTCAGCCAGACCAGATATCTTCGATAACGTAAGACTCGGACATATTCCACTTGTATGTTTACCACCAAATCTTTTCTCTCCTGAGGCTACATCGAGATCAGAAACCTATCTGAAATCTAAGGCCCCAAGAGCAGACTGCACCCACCACTCTGCCGGCTTCCTAAGCCTACAGGTGGGACCTGCTCACACCCGGTGACCGGGCTGATGAAGTCCGCAGTTCTCAAACGTCGTGTGACACCCACCCTCCGCGAGGCGTCATTTTTAACAAATCTATTCTACGAAAGTGCCCAGAAATGTCAGACAGGTGCTCAGGACAAGCCCGGGAAATCCCTAGTCACACGTCTGGGCAGTGTTACTACTGCAACAGACAGGAAACTGACTAGGGGGTGGCGCCGGCTTTCACCGGAGTCCTCCGAACCGCTACACAGTGCCAGAGCCGGTGTCTGGCAGGGAAGGCGGCGATGGCCTTAGATCTGGTCCGGTGGGCTTTTACCCAGGAAAGGGTGAAACACAAGTGGTTCTGAAGGGTGCCAGATGACCTCCCCTCTTTGTGGCCTCGCGGGTCTGCGGCATGCAGCACTCGAACGGGCTCTTCCGAACACCCTCCCTCGAGGAGAGCGCGCGCGCGCGCCCGGGGCGGGGGCATTTACCATCCTGCAGGATGAGGGTGGGCTGCACCGCCTGCACCCGGAACTGCCTGGCCCTCCAGCCAGGGCTGGGCGCCCGCACCACCTCGCTATCGGACAGCCAGGTCACGGTCTCAAAGTTGTCCCCACGGGCGAGCGCCTCGGCCTCGGCGTGGTGCACGGCCACCCGGTCGAACTGGTAGAGGCCGCCGGAGTGGTCGAAGTGCACGTGGGTGGCCACGGCCAGCAGCGGCCGGCGCGCCGCGTCGTCTTTGGCCCCGCCGTCCTGCAGGAGGCCGGAGGAGTACAGGTACTCCGGGAGGCTGCGCAGCCCCAGGCCCGTGTCGATCACCACGTCCTGCTCGGAGCCACGCACCAGCCAGATGTTGGCGCGGTTGCCCGACTCGTAGAAGCGTTCTTGGATCCAGAAGATGCCATCGCCCAGGGACTTGTGGGCGTACCACTCGAGCGCCGACATGCTGCGCGGGGGTGAGGCCGGGCGGGGCGGCTGGGGGCGCGTGTCTCCCGGCGGCAGTGCGGACCCCGGGCGCTGCGGCTGTGCGGAGCTGTCTGTCCGCAGCCGGGGAGGAGGCTCAGAGCGAGGCGGGGGCGGGGGATGCGGGAGGCGGAGGGGGAGCAGCGGGAGGAGGAGGGACGTCGGCTCCCGCACCCTCCCGCCAGGGCCGCAGCGAGCGGAGGCTGCGCAGCCCGCACTGGGGCGCAGGGGCAATCGCAGCTTCTGCTGCCGCAGCGCGAGGGGGCGGCACCACAGGGGCCACAGGTGCAGGATGGAGACCCCGGAGGCGACGCTCTCCCCACCCTGGGGGTCTGACTGCGGAGGTCGGGTGCGGGGCGTGGGAAGAGCGGGGCCCGCCCACCCTGTCCCCGGCTAGGCGCGACGCGCGCTCCCGGCTGGCGCTGAAAGTGCCAGGCCGAGCCGGTGGGACTTGGACTACGGCGCCTGCCAAGGGCAAAAAAGCTCTCAGTCGAGGGGGTGGGGCCTGGCCGGGGTGGGCGGGGCCGGCGGCTCGGGATCAGAACCGGCTCCGCGGCCTCGTGGAGGGCGGTGCGCGCGTCCCCCGCGGTGGCAGCGGCGACTGCCGAGCGCCGGTGGCCTCCGTCCGCACCCCTTCCTTGCCGGCCGGCGCCCCGGCTGCAGAGTTTTGCAGAGCCTCGAGACTTGGTGAGCAGGTAACTGAGGAAGCAGTCGAGAACTTGGGAGGGGGTGGAGCGGGCAGAAGGGAGTTAAGAGGGCACGTGGAGAAAGTGGGGGCAGTCGGGGTAGAGATTCGTTCTAGCGCCAGGATCCAGGGGCGTTGGAGATCGCTTTACCTCCCCTTCTCTTGCTGCCTTCTAAACCTTTTTAAGTCGTCCTTTCCAGAGCTTACCTAGCCTCCACTTTTTCGAACTGTTTGCAGTGAGTTAGGAGTGAATGTATGCTCTCTCACTGATGGTAGAGGATTTCTTTAGGCTCTGGTCATTGCCGCAGATTGCAGTAAGGACAGACCATTTCAGTATCTGTTTTCTTAACCGTTGGCACTTTACCCTGTAGCATGAGGAGGGGGATTGTTCATATGATTCATGGTTTTATTTTTTCCTAAAAAATAAAATTGTATATTCTCTCTCTCTCTTTTTTTTTTTTTGGTCCATACTTGGAGGAGAGTACACTCTTGGAAGAGAGTACAGAAAGTTGGTAGAAAGACTCAATTAAGGAAAGGTGGGGCGGGCACACTGGAGGACCAGAAAAGTGCAAATGACTGGGTGTGGCCCTGCCAGCCACATCAGTCATCCAGCCCCATCAGTTATCCCTGTCTCCACTCCCCACCTCCCAGCTATAGAAGCATCATCTATTTAGGCTTCAACAATTCCCTTGAGAACTTGACTAAGCTCCCTTCTCAGGAAAAATTATAAAGAGACCCATGAAACAGCACTATAGAAGACAATTATGAAAACCCTAACTGTGGCAAGTACTCAAGCCTTGGTAGAAGGAGAGGTGTACTCTCTTCTCCTGCACACCCCAAGTCTTTGGTGGGGAAGCAGCCTTTATGAATATTTTGCTAATCTAGGTAGAGGTTATTCAGTTACTCAGCTGGAGGTTGTCTTTATTCACAAGTCCCTAAGCGAGATGATGCTTGAAGAACAGAACTGTGTAAAAAAAAAAGTCATGATCTGGATTCTCCAGAGTCTGAGGGAAGGTGATGTCTGTACTCAGATACTTGCACTATAAAGTCCTATGGGACATGTACCACAGAAGAAGTTAAAACTGGGTGCTCCAGGAATGCAGATGGAAGGGATTGCAGAGGAGTGGCATTTGAGCTGGGCTTCAGACCCTGCTTTTGGGATAGCCTCTGAAGAGAAATACAGTGCATCTGTAGTGTGGGTATTTTTCCCCTAGGCAGAAAGGAACCACTAGAGATGAAAGGGAGTGATTCTTTACCAGACCATGGCTCAGCAGTAATTCACCCAATAATAGCTGGACTTCTGCCATGCTCTGGCTAGTGGTGGGCATGCAGAGGTGAATCCATCTCCAGGAAGGCCTTCACATGCACAGGACCCTCACCAGAATCCCCCGTCCCCTGGATATCCTCTTCTACATCTCTGCATAGCTTTTCCCCTCATTTTTGTCAGGCTTGTGCTCAAATACTACTGAATAAGAGAGGATTTCTTCAACCACTCTTTCCACAGTAGCACCTATGTTTCCTGCCGTATTTTTCTTCCTCTCACCTATTTTAAAAATATACTTTGTCCATTTCCCACTCTAGACCATGAGCTTCCTGGGAGGAGAGATTCTGTTTTGCTTACTGCTGTATTCGTAACACACAGAAGGTGCTTGATACATCCCCGAAGGGATAATTGAAGAGCATCCCTGGCCAGACAGACAAGAGCTGACAGTTGCTACATGATTGTAAAATGGCCCATAAACACAGTGTAGTGCTGGGAAACACAGAAAAGGGGAGGCCTAACTCCAAGAGAGATGGAAGAAATGATCATGGAGAAAGTGCCCTTTGCACGGCATCTTAAAAGATGCTAGGTCTTGCTAGGTGGCTGTGGTAGGAAGGGCACTCCAGGAGAAGAAGTACTGCAGGCGAGAGGTGGCATACGCTGTGGGATGCATGTGTGAGGCACAAAGGTAGAATTCACAGCTGTTTTTGTAAGAAGAGTGAGTGACACATCAAGGTTGGTATTCTAGGGCCAGGAGTGTTGGCTCATGCCTGTAATCCCAGCTCTTTGGGAGACTGAGGCAGAAGGATTGCTTGAGCCCAGGAGTTCAAGACCAACCTGGGCAACATAGCAAGATAGCATATCTGCAAAAAAATTTTTAAGACCAACTTGGCATGGTGGTGCGTACCTGTAATCCCAGCTACTCAGGAAACTGAGGTGGGAGGATTGTCTGAGCCCAGGAGGTTGAGGCTGTTGTGGCAGCACTCCAGCCTGGGTGACAAAGACCTCACTCAAAGAGAAAAAAAAAGATTTGTATTCTAGAGAGATGACTGGAGAGGGGGTAGAAAGAGGATGTCTAGCCATGGGAAGTTTCCCTCTCTAGCTTAGAGGTCCAGGTGAGAGTGGCCTGAACTGAGGCAGAGAAGAAGGAAGGGGAACCTGGGCAAGAGAACACAGAGCTGATGGCCTCCTACCATTAGATAAGGGGATGGAGGGAGATGGGCGATCAGGATGATGAGCCTGCCTGACTGGAGCAATGTAGGAGGTGCTTCTGTGGTCAGGAAAGATCCTGTGACTTGGCTGTCACTTCTTCCCTACATTCCATCTGTTTGTACATATGTCCATGTAACTGACATATACAAGAAACTATGAAAGACAATACATTTAAGTTGCAGTTGTCACTCAAGGTACTAGAGCTAGGAGAGACTTCGGAGATGAGCTCAGCCTCTGCGAGGAGGTTGTCTTCATAGTTGTTTAGAATGGTCTCTTGTTTTTCAGCTCTGGGATGCTTTACACCTATTTTCAAACCTTTCAGAACAGTTCTGAATAGGAATGTCCAGGAGACATCCTGAAATGAAAGGGTAGTGCTGCCGACTTCTGTTTTCAAGTTCAGTGCATTTTGCAGTTAATCCTTCACTTCATTGATTAAAGGCATGCCTGAGATTAAAAAGGTCTTCAGCCGGGCTCAGTGGCTCAGCCGGTAATCCCGCGCCTTTGGGAGGCTGAGGTGAGTG